ACGGACGGCAGATATTTGTACCAGCCGCCAGACGGCTGCCAAGGAGCCCGCCTCCTGCTGCCGCCGCCGCCGCCGCCGCCGGGCTATGACATCACCGACGCATCACACGCGGGCGACGCGTGCGGTCAAGGCTGCGGCGCGGGACCGGTGCGCCCCGCTGGGAGCAGCTGGTCACTGACGGCGCCCCGAGGGCCTCCCGTCCTTGGCAGTGGAGCGGCGCAGCGGCCGGCGGCGGCGCCTAGGGCGCTTCGGCCGGTCACTCGGCGGCCGGAACGAATCAGAGCCCGCGGCGGCGGCGGCGGCGGCGGCGGCGGCGGCGCGGGCTTTCCCAGCCGTAGTGGATTTAGTCGGTCATGGCTCCGGCGCAGGACCGAGTGGCATTGTGGCACGCATGCAAGGGCATTGTGGTGCGTACTGCGCCGGGCCGAGGTGATTTACGTTCTTGTACGTCTTGGTAACGGACGGATGGCTGTTGCGTGACGCCACATGACGACACTTGCGTCATGTTTTATGAGTGGCTTTTGCAGGACACATATTGACTGTTAGTGGTGCGTAGTGCGCAGCAAAGGTGGCATTTAACGGATTCGCCACTGACTGCATCTCTGCAGGCACCGTGACTGGCCCGGCCTGGTGCTGAGCAGTACCCAGTTTTCTCATGCGGAGAGTGAGAGGGCATTCGGCCATGCAGCCAGCTACGGACACAGAATACGACTGATGGGCTCTTGGTTAGTTCAGAAATTCAGGGACAGCTAATTGGCTCACCTCAGGTTATTCAGTAGCCTGCAGGGTCTCGCTAAATCTGTAAATGCACGCCGTTGGCGTTCATGTATGGGAGCGAAACTGCTACTGACAACCGTTAGGTAAAGAGTCCATTTGTGCACAGAAATACACGCCCAATGGTCATTAGGCTGAAGTCAAAACACATGCATCAAAATACATAAAAAACAGTAAATGATGCCCGCACTCATTTGCTCACGAATTGCAGTGTTCATCGTTGGTAATAAAGGCACATAGGACCACGGTGTCGAATAAGTTGCCTTAGCCATGCATCGGAAGACATCTAGCGTCCCGTTTAAGCTCCCACCTCTCTTTTCCGTGCCTCGCACCTGATGTGCCGGCGGACACTTGTGGAAACATGGTCGAGGCTGCGACCTTTCACGAGCACCCCGGACGGCACGCGCCAGCGGTGAAAAAGAGAACAGCGCGACAGGCAGAGCTGGCTGCGCTGTAGAACAAAGGGCTGACTGGTTTTCAGGTGACGATCAAGGACGTGTGACTCGTGGCTTCATCTGCATTACGCATTTTAGTCTGAAAATCGACCTCGATTATTACTTGAGCTGTGTGTTCAACTGTGTGTGTCGCTCAACAACCTAACAAATCAAATAGATTATGTCTTGTGATCGGCATGAATTGCGTTACTATCTACGGAAGGTGGATGACCTTGGACGGCTTGATAATCATTAGCCACTCTATTCCTCTTATCCCCACCCCTACCACCCCAACCCTGGTAGCGCCTGGCCTGTTCAGCGACCCTTTAATTATCTGCGTGATCGTGGATATTACTTCGGCAGTGTAGGCTGAGTTTGGATACGCTATGTTGATCTTAGTTATAAGCATCGCCTCAGTTTCCACAGCACCTTCCCCCATGGCGCACGGATATGTCACCGAAGCACGCAGTTGATTTTACTGCAACATTAATGGCTTAAATGTTGCGGTGTCTATGGGCCTACTCCCTCAATTGATAGTTGCATCAGTATATGGTGCAGATGTCAACATAACTCAATGACGATTAATATGATGACTAATATGATGCATGTCGATATGTCTCGTCTCTCCGTGCGCCAGCAATTCGGTGAGCCCTAAGATCAGCACTCGGTGGGCCCTTGAGTCAGTACTCGCTGGCTGCTAATGCTGAGCGTCATCTGGAGTCTGTCGAGGTTGCAGGAAGTTTGCACACAAGTCTGTCAGCACGAGCAGCGCCGGGCGACGCGAGCTCTGACCCGCTGCCTATGCCAGCCGCAGGGAGACACTCAACACCCCGGTGTTCCACCGTGCTGGCGCCATGCAGGGATGTCTGGTGCAGTGCTGATGACGACACGAACCAAGCGCCTCAGGACCCGCGGGACCGGGGGCAGCCGCCCTACCGACGTCCTCCGGCGGCGGCTGGTGCTGAGGCGAGGACGGCAGCAGGCGAGGACGATGACCCAACGCCGCGGAGACAGGCTGAGGTCCCACACCCGCTGTAGCTGATCACGACTTAAGTGGCGTGCCCTCCTCTCGGCGCATACGTGTAATGCACGCTAAAAGAATCCTCTCAAAGCATGCATGTAGTTCGCGCCTGACGACTTTGAACTTGTGAAGTCTTGCGGGACTCCACCGTACTCCATCGAGTCCTTCTGCCGCCGAATATTTCTGGCATCACGTCGGTAGTTATGCAAGAGGTAACAGAAGCCGTGCTAACGGCACGCTCCCACCACAGACGCTGTGCCTGGCTGCGGCCGCACCAAATCAAAGCGTCGCCAAGCTAGCGCTGCCTATCCTTATTTGTTGTCTCACGCTCATACGCAGCGCCCGCTCGTGTCACTCGGGCTGGGTACGTCATGCTGCGGGCGCGGCCATCAGCTGAACACCAGCATCACGGATCGCATTCCCACCACTTCGCAGTGTCTACATCGCTTATAAGGGGAGAGCTCCATGCGCATGTCAAAGCTCACCAGAGTGGCAGAATGTCGCTTCGCAGCCCACCTGCCACCGTGGGTGTATGTCCGATACCGACTCAGGTAGACTCGCTTTCAATTATCGCGTGCGCGCGCGCGTTGTTGATCATACCAGTACCATCTGCCCAAGTGCCATCAAGTTTTTATATGCTCCTGGGTGCGTGGGCAAAAGGTCATTTCCCTCGTCGACTGCATTTGCTTGTTCGCTGGGACCCATCGGACCGATAATATGTACATGTTCTGTGTCTGAGGATGGTTTGAATAATTTATTTCGGATATGACTGGCAAGAAACGGACATTACTGGGGTGATGTAGGACGGCAAGCTCGTTCTTGCGTTGCGGCGGGTCTGAAGCAAACGTTTGCCTGAAGCAAAATAATCCACAAGACATACAGCAGTGAAGACACAGCAGTGACGAGGGTTGTGCTCGCGGCGCACCAAAAATATGCTTCTCTAGATATGTCACGTGACATCACATAGACTCTTTGCCGGATGTGTTCGCAGTGCAACTAGTTTTCTATTTACATGTTCGTGTCGCCGTGATAATAACTGCGCATGCAAAGGCACAACATTTTCGATTGCAGTCACTTTGAGTGCAACTAAGAGTAGAAACAGCAGTATGCTCTTTGTAACGCATAAAGCATCGTTTTATCACTTGTGGTCGATTTTAGGCACGCAAACTGACATATTTGTAATGAAATATGTTGCGTCATTTCTGCCTCGTGGGGCGCGGAAAAAGATTCCGCCCATCCGTCAAAGATTCTTCATGACGTCACGTAAAATCTTTGTCATTGGGGTCGCTGCGAGCACGCCCCTGTCGTTAACCCTAGGTCTTGACATCGGAGGCGATCCGTTGCGTGATACCGAGCCGGAGCCTGTCGGTGCTCGAGCCAGCTCGGGCTACTCGCACTCGGCCCAGACAACGGCGTCTCCGTCGACCATCAGGTCGGAACACTTCACGATGCGCCTAAACAAGTAGACAGTACGATACTCACGTGTCAGCCCTGTTAGGAGTGCAGCCGTGCAGCCGGCTGAGACGGTGGTGAGAGCGGCGGCCCGCTCACCAGAGCAGCGGCCCGCTCACCGGAGCAGCGGCCCGCTCGCCAGAGCAGTGGCCGGATCACCAGAGCGGTCCGCTCACCAGGCCAGCGGCCCGCTTCACCAGAGCAGCGGCCGGATCATCAGAGCGGCCCGCTCACCAGACCAGCGGCCCGCTCACCAGAGCAGTGGCCCGCTCATCAGAGCAGCGGCCGGATCACCAGAGCGGCCCGCTCACCAGACCAGCGGCCCGCTCACCAGAGTGGCGGTCCGTTCACCAGAGCAGCGGCCCGCTCACCAGTGCAGCGGCTCGCTCACCAGAGCGGCGGCCCGCTCACCAGAGCAGCGGCCCGCTCACCGGAGCAGCGACCCGCTCACCAGAGCAGCGGCCGGATCACCAGAGCGGCCCGCTCACCAAACCAGCGGCCCGCTCACTGGGGCAGCTGTCCGCTCACCAGAGCAACGGCTCGCTCATCAGGGCACCGGCCTGCTTGTCCCTCGTGCTCTTTGACGGGTAATGGTACCCAGTGAATCCACGCCAGGCTTCAGTGGCCATGCGAACCATGCCTGAATGCCACGTAAGTCATTGATTATTTGATAACGCCTTGACGCATATCAGCCGAGGGGACATGGGACGCGTACATTAAAAGGTGACGTGCAGTTGTGTCGCTACCATTCTTTCGTTTGTGAGCCAATGCCATTTCATTCTCGTTCGGTTAAATTGTCGGCAGTTTTTTGCACTTCATACACTTATTTTCTTTTCACATTGCATTTCATTCTCTTATTCTGTTTTCTCATTTCATTTTATTCTCTTATTTCCCTTTCACTTTTCATTTCATTCGCTTATTAACTAATACGAATCTACTTCTTAATACACGCTAGCATGCTGGTTCGCCACGAGATTAAAAGTGTTGACCGCTGTCAAGTTGATACGCCATGACGGCTCGGCTCTCCTCCCGTCCTTCACCACTCAAGACCAAGGCACGCCCATCCTCATCCCTCTACCGCAGCTCGCTCTTCACCGCTCAAGACCAAGGCACGCACATCCTCATCCCTCTACCGCAGCTCGCTACCACATCACCGCCACCGAGGCCTCCCCACCGCAGCGTGCCCCGCGAGGCCGACAAGGGCCGCGTAGAGCCCCAGCAGTCGGCGGCGGCCCGGTCGGCCTCGTCGCCTGCGGCGGCGGTCGGCCGGTCACCGTCCGCCGCCGCCGCCGCCGCCGCCGTTCAGTCTCGCGCGCGCGCCCGCCCAGCCACCACGCAGCCATGGCCCCGTGGACGAACGTCGAGGAGGCGCTTGGTCTCAAGGAGATGGTGCGCAACCGCGACCTGTGGAAGGCGCTGCTGGCCGAGTTCATCGGCACGCTGCTGCTGACGCTCATCGGCTGCCTGAGCACGATCGGCTGGGCCGACGACGGCTACAAGCCGTCCATGGTGCAGATCGCGCTGGCGTTCGGTGTCACCGTCGCCACACTGGCGCAGGTGAGCTGGCTGCAGGGAGGAGCACGAGCGCCGGTGCGGCACCGCTGTGTCCGGGGTGGGTGGCCTGGTCGGGCTGCACGGGACAACGCTTGTCGCTGGTCGTCATGAGCGGTGTTGCTGGGAAGGATAGGCAGGTCGTATGGCATAGCGTGCAATTGCTGGACACCATGCATCCAGCATTTTCATTTACTGTGCAGCGTTTAACAGAGGTTGAAAATCTGTACGGTGAGCTTGTCTTCTGTTCGTCCTCGTCTTTCGTCCTGACTAATTTTCGTAGTTTACTGACATGAGCCCGTGAACCCTTTCTGTCGCGACCCGTCGACGCTGGGTCAGTGGGCATGGGTCACACCGTCCTGATGGATGACGTCGACTGGGCCGATGGGTGTAACCTGCGCTCGTCGGACACTAGCCTCAGTGTAGACCCCCTCCCCTACATTATATCCCGCGCCGAGACGTGCCGCCGTAATCGCACTGCTGGTTGCCGTTCCGATACGGCTGACAATTGTGACAGATGGCTCGTGTGTCAACACGGCGCGGCTTCGCGATAGGACGGCGGCGGCAGCGGCGGCGGCTGGGACGCGGGCGATCGGGTCGGTCCGCGCTCACGTGACCGCCTGCGGGCGATCGCCTCTGTTTACAGCGCCGCGTCTGGGAGCGGTGAGACCAGAGCCGCGTAAAAACAGATGACCCGGTACGCATCGTCAGTGTTAACGGCCTTTGTCGGCGTGGTTGAGATGGCTGGCGTTGCGGAGAGCTCTCGGGACAGCCTTTGGCGGCCGGTGGAAAGTTCCTGCACCGTCGGTCAGCGTGTTGATGGCTGCCTGAGGTAACCGTTAGTCAGGCTTCAGTTCAGACGGTATAGAAACGCATCTCGTCGGTCAGGCACCGTGCGCCCGTGGATTTCTAAACGCGACAACCGCAACGCCTCGCGCTCCGTGGCACGGGTGCAGTCACGAACGTGGCGAGAGATAAACGCGGACATCACGAACGGTCGCCTGTTGGCACCTGGCGCAAGTTCGTGCCGGCTCTCACATAAGCTCTTCCGGCCCCTGCGCATTAGCTGATGCGGGAAATATCACAGTGGGAGCGAATGAGGCCGACTAAGTGTTTTTGTGGAAGCAGAATTGGGCGCAGCAAGATATTAGAGTGCGCAACTGGATGTGGTTCATGAGGTGGATGGTTTAAACCGTAACATTCTTAGAAGCGTTACCACATCGCTCTGTTCGCCAAATCCGACACCGTGAGAATGGGTTCAACCTCCGGCACTGAGAACGCGCGCACCCTTGTTGATGGAAAACTGACGTGCCTGAGTCACTCGTGCCCTGTTCCTGATGTTTTCCAATCGTAAACGGTTCGGCTCTGTGATCCTGAGTTGTCATGTCAGCGATGAAGACGCTCCTGGCTGCGCTCCAGAGACGACATTCCCTGATCGCTCCCGTGGAGCAGAACATCACGTCAGACCTGATGTGTTCACGCCAAGCTTGTCTCCTGCTGGGCGCACTGCCGTCAGCGCAGTCGATGTCGTCTAAAATCGAGATGAGGAGTGATTCTTGTCGGCTCTGACCCGTTGGGAAGCCTTTTCTCCGCGACCGTCCGTCTCACTCCCACCCGGAGCGTTCAGGACGAGAAGGCTGCCACTCGTTAACGTTACATAAGGTTCCGCTGCGAGAACTTATCAGTCCGTTATAATCTGCATCAGTGAGCGGCAAGCAACCACTTGGACTGAGGGAATTATTTTGCACAGTGTAATTCAGTGCAAACTGGCGGAAAAATTACCACTTACATTGCTCAAGGTAATTAAAGCCGCGTTGTCGTGCCACGCAGGTTTCACAAATGACAGACGGCATAAAATGGTTATGGGTATGTCAATCGGCTCACACAGCTCTGGTGTCCATTTTCTCTCAGTAAATTTGCGTTGGTATAGTCGCCCCAGGTTACGCGTTATAGCCAGATGCCAAAGAGTCTGTCCCCCGTGCGCACTTGAGCCTCTTCAATGCTTCTCTGAGCCCCCCCCCCCCCCCTCCCTTCAATGCATATGAGTAAAAAGGGAATACCAGCCCAATGAAATGCAACAAATGTCTGAATTGTTGGTACACTAAGTACCTGAACACGTCACATCAATACAATCAGCATCATGCATTAGCGTTGTCACCGTCTCATTGGCTTGAAATGGACAGTAAATACTTCACATCAAAATGATTTCGGGACTGAACAATTTTTTGCCATTGGAGATGCAAAGCAAATAAGCCAAAGGCCAAAATTCTGGGAGAAATTAGGATTTGGGTAGATTAGATAAATTCCAGCGGTTCATCCCCCCTCCTCACCGGTTTAGAGAGAGACACCCCTTGAATGAAGTAATGCAAAAAATCCCTGTTCACGCTAGTCCAGTAAGCTGGCGGCCCTTAAAAACATAGACGTGACCTTAGAAGCGCAAGCGTTCGTTGATGGACCATTCTATGAATTATACTAGCATGCTGTTTAACACATTATTTTAAATTCTTAAGCTTCAAGACATGGCACAGTTTTGCAGCCATTCCTTTTTGCATAATGCTCTAAGAGTTCAAAACGTGATATAATCGGTCACAATGTTCCTCTCAAACAATGTCCAAACCATGACAGCATATTGGGACCGTCATCCTCTGCATCACTATTTATACCACCTGCATCACCCCTGCATCACTATTTGTACCACCTGCATCACCTCTGCATCACTATTTGTACCACGTGCATCACCTCTGCATCACTGTTATTCCACTTGCGGCCTTCAGTAAGAACGAAGACAAGCTATCCTCAATAACTTTTTCCCTTTTGGCTTACAATTAATCAAGATATTATGAACTGAGACCACTCATGCCTTAATTGGTTTTACAGCCAGATTCTAGCTACAAGTTAGGTCAAACAGTACATTCATGTGACGGCACTTTATTCTTAACTTAGATTCCGTGCACAATTTTTCCGTGCACGTGCACAATTCAGTGGCGGCATGAAGCCGCCACTCCGACAATATACGTTTGAATTGCGACAGTCAGGTTATGCCATCTCACATCTGTCACGAAAGGAAGGCAACATTTTGTCACGCCATGCACGCCTCACTCATTTTCCTGTTACATCTGCTCAAGTGAAGCAGGAGTGGTTTCGAATTTTATATCTTGTGACGCGGTAGCATGCGTCTGATTTGATTACAGGATGAGCAAAGCCATCTTCTCTATAGACCAGATGCGGTATCAATCTCAACCTCCTATCGACCTTACATACTTCCATCTCCTCTAGTTCCCCTCCCCCACGCCTCAGTGTCGCCCCGGGCGACAGGGCGCACCTGCGTCCTTTGCGGGTCCTTGTAGAAGGACACGTCCGCATTGCGAAAGCGCGTGCCTTAGAAGTCCACGCGCGTCTGACTGGCGGTTCCCCGGAACTAGCCTCGAGTATGTCACCAAAAACGCCTGTCCGGCCTGTTTGGCCGGATGCGGAACAGCTCCCTCCTCCCCCACCCCCACCCCAATGATGACTTCAGCCCCCCCCCCCATTTTCAATGCATGTGAGCAAAACAACACTGGACCGAAATGTTCAGAACATTCCTGAGAACTGCTAAAACAAAATTGTTTAATGTGTTGAGAGAAATCTGGTGTCAGGCCCCGATTGGACCGTGTGCGGCTGTGGCTGCCGGCCGTGGTGTTGTGTTGCCACCAGACGTGCTGTACGTCGTGATGTACCGGGTCGGCTCGTGCCGGGACTCGTTGGGAAAGAAAGATCACGTGATCGCGTTCCGGCCGGTGCCCTGGGGTCAGGAGCGCGTGCAGCCGCCGGCCATGACTCGCCATAGCTGCCCCTCTTTGAGCTGGCGGCAACATGCATTTGTGGCCAGTTGTCAGCGCTGCAATGCGCAGTTGCAAAGACGGCGTGATGGGGTTGCGCCTCAGTTGCTTCGAGTCACAGCACCCAAGTCGAGAAAAAAAATGAAATGTGGCTTTCGCGGTGGGCTGTGAATAGCGAGCTCGTGTGGTTAATGGTCTGTAGAGGCTGTTTAGGAAAGCTATTGCGCTAAACTGCTGCTCCTGACGGGGTTCACGCCTCTCCAGGGCTTTGTCCTTGGACCTTTAACACCCGACTAATACATCACAATAACACTAAGCGGTGGTTAACTGGATCTTGTTGAACGGTCTTTATGAGGTTAAAGGTCGAGGATGGTGTTAACTTTCGGCACACCCATAATGTGCCTCAATAGCAGTCCGGTCAATGCTTTTAGAACAATTATTTGATTAGATGGATGCATATTTAAGTTTGCATGACTTGTTAATGCGAATTATTCGTAGCCGACATAAAAACCATAAAAGTTTGCACGGCTTGTTAATTCGAATTATTCGTAGCTAAATCAGGAAGTGGCGAGCGCTAAAACACTTGAAAACACTAAATGCGGATGTCATGTTTAAATTATTAGAGCTGAAATGATACCTAGTTCCCAGGGGTGCCCGGTTCTCGATTGCAACATCAATGGATGGGAGTGGCGGCAATGCCATCACGTCACGGTCGATGGCAGCAATTAGTAACGTCTATAGCCGCACACGTCGGGGCCCGCAGCGGATTGGCAATCTCGCGCCGGGGCGACACCCACAGAGCCAACATTGACCGGGTCATTTGCTCGGACCGGGCGGGACGGCGCGCGCGCGTGACCTGGACCGCCCAACAGAGTACACGGCGCCAGGTGCCGCCCCTCTCTCAGCGCGCGCCGGGCGGCCGGCCTCTCTGGTGGGCCCCAGGCCGGCTGGGCACGGATGAGGCGTCAGGCGGCGCCTTGTGGCGGCACCGAGTGGGCCAGGCGGAGTACGACGGTGTGGGAGTGTGGAGCGCGAGATACGACGGTGTGGCAGTGCGGAGCGCGAGCTTACTGCGGTTCGCTCCAGGGCTGGAGTTTACAATCCGTTCATGATTTGGTGTTGAGGGAATGTTTGGAATGTGCAGCTGCGATTTGAAATTTATAAGAAGCGAGCAAGCTATAGGTTGCA